CCTGTCGCGCCTTAATTCTAATCTCAACTATAATTTCCTCGTATTCCATTCTTGGCGAGTGAGGGTGTAACTGTAATCTTGTCCCTTTGGGTCCTCTTCACGTCGAAACATGCTTCGTCTCATTGGCCAGAGCGGTGCATGACTGGATCGATGCGTGGAGAGTGGCTACATCCCTCGCACCACAGCCGAGGCATATCAACCGTCGGCAACTCCTTTCTTTCTCTCTCCCCCTGCCTCAATGTAATCCCCACTATCTCGTGCAAATGCTAATAGTTATAAATTTCGCAAGCGCGACCAAATCACTCTCTAATATAAACTTGGGGGAGTTAGCGCGGTCGAGAGGATCAGCTAACGAGTATGAGCATGCAAAGAGGTGAGTTCGAAGTTGGGTGATCTGACGAGTGTGCAGGGTTAACGTGCCACCACGACGGACTGTGGAGCATGGGGGAACCCGGTATGCGTACTTGGGCTAAGTGGGGTGACAAGTTCGGGTTGTTGGTAGGGCAGGACGATGATACAGCACTGAGAGCACGTGGGGCGTTGGGGTGTGTGGGGACTTCTCTCCTGGCCCTCTAGAAATTTGGATTTCGGTTTTCGCCATTTTTACTTTTGTAATTGCGAACTTCAGCATGATTGTGTCGATCCCTCCTTTTCTTCAAAGTTTCTCTCATACCTCATTCCTGTTATGAACGATGTCATGTGCGATGATTGCAGCCTAATTGTCTCAATTTGGTATGCATAATTCCTGGTTTTATCAAAATACTGAATGATTGAAAAACATGGATGTATGCATAACTGTAGCCCGCTGGAATTGATGGGAAATAGCAAAGTTGGTCGCCTCGAGTTGCTTTGTGAACGAATTTCGTGCCATGTGTATACGTTACAGTTGGCCAGTAAAACGCATGTCACATATACGCGCACTTACACAAGTTACCCCTGTCAGGGCCTTACTACTGGTACACTTCTGCATGGATAGGAACGATAACATTACTGTAAATTCATAACATAGAATTTGGAGTCCCTTTTCGATTAACAAATTACGACTACCCTTACTGGGTGTCGAGCTTCATCTGATGGGCTTGTACTGAGGCTAAGCATAAGGAACACCGCTTTCGACTGAAACCGTCCACGTCAGACGCTGAGATATACAAATTCCATGGGCACCGTGAGTCGAGCAACGAGACATCCATTGTATTCCTCCCGTACACCGCATATGGACCCATCCTAGGCACCAAAACCAACCATCCTGAATGCCCGACGATAAAAGCGACGAACTGAGAAAGCCCCTTTTCGTTTGAACCTCTTGCACTCCTGTCCTTGGAACCTTGGCACAGGAGACCCCAGTTCCGACCTGGGACTCCACCCCACTTTCCTAAAATCTTTAGCACAACCCCTTTTTTTTGGCAACTTCCGAGCCCACTCCCACTCCGATCAAAAAGTCGCACTGGGCGTGCGGTTTGGGCGTCACACCGTCAGTTCATGGGACACAATAATGTTGAACCTACCTTCCACTGCAGTGGGACCTTCGTATGTAATCAGTTCATATAAATATGCAAATTAACAAAATGTTAATTAAACTTTAGATAATAAATCAAACTAAGTAAATAAAAACTTTGTGAGACTTTCTGACTTAGTTACTGCATAAAAATTACGTAAACAACTAGGTTGCCAGAATGGCCCGAGGTCATTTGCCCGGCCGGGGCAAAAACATTAAAAAAAAATAAAAATAAAAAACTTATTTTTAAATTGTATTTTTTATTTTGAATTTGGTGAAGAATTTCAATGTGACCCTGGGGCCTGGACCCACTAGCGAAGTATTCTACGACGTGTGACACAGTTTTATGTTTTTTTGGAAAATACAAAGCGATTTTTTATTTGCATGAATGGATCGTTTTCTGATTTAAAATGAATTGAAATAGCACATAAAACTATGAAGAACAGCTATGCACCCGAATTCATGGGTTGGTACGATCTCCTTCATGTAAGTCTTCATAGCGATGTACCGTGGCAATAAAATGTGTCCACGAACACATTCAAGAGGATGAACAAGTAACGGGTATTGGGATACATTCCTCGCAATGTATCTCATGATGCCTTTAACAGGCCATCCTACAAACGCGGAAGCGTTCCTGTCAAATGCACCACAATATTCAAATTTCACATTTCAAGTTTTATTTCTCAGAGCCAAAAAAAAAAAAAAAACGAAGTTTGGAAATCACCCCCCCCCCCTTTAAAGCCCATAAAATCCCGACTTCCCGCCCACGCAAAGCCACGACCTATCATGTCCAAGTTAGTCCAACATCGTTTGTTTTTTTTTCCCGACGCATCTCATTGGACGGGAGGTGGGCATCTTTACAGTCCCCGCTCAGTCTAGATCCGATCTATTCGACGGTCGTACTGAGTCACTCGATGCCACACGTGATCAAAATCCTGAACGGCGTGGTAGAATACCTTGCTAGTGGGTCCAGGCCCCTGAGGCAAAAGTTGATCAGTTCATTTTTCTGCATAACATAGTATTTTTGTGGTTCTTTTTTTTCTTTTTCTTCTTCTTTTTGCTGGGACCTTCCGTGGTCCTTGCACGGGCTGGCCACCCGGGACCCGGACGGCCCGGCTGGTAGCCTAGGTAAACAATGAAAAAAAAACTTTTAAACCACCAGTACTTGGCCCAGCTATCTATGCCGAGCCTGGAGTGCCCCCCGCGCCGCGCGCCGATTTTCGCTGAAGCGCGGTATCGTTTCAAAATTGTTTTGGATGGCGCTTCCAGCCATTGAGGTCCGGTACCCCAAAGCCCTAAAGGCGCGGCGCGTTAACGGGTAAGCGCCGCGGCCAATAGCTGGGCCAAGTACTGGTGGTTTAAAAGTCTAACTTACTGAATCCTGGGCCAACAAACCTGGGAAAAAAAGCATACGGGAAAGGAAAGGAAACCATAAGTGTTTCTCTTACAAAGTTACAATGCTGGTTTGGGCACCGAGCCCATTTAGCATTGAAATTCCAATGCGTTATTGAACAAAACAAAAAAGTATAATGCCAGTTTTGGGTGTGACACGTGTGTTTGGTTTCTTAGACTTACATGGCCAAGTTAGCTTGGGGCAGATGTACCTTCAGCAGCAGAGGGTTGGTGCATAACCAAAAGTGGGTAAGCATCCCAGTATCTTCCGGGGCCAATAGAGATCTTCCTTCAGGAACATCTACAACAGATCCAGTACCCCAGTATTTTCTGGGGACAATAGAGATCTTCCTTCAAGAACATCTACAATAGTTCCAGTACGTTTGACAACATCTCCTTCGTTAATGGCAGTATCACTACCAAAAACCACAATTCGGCCTCGGAGGTGCGAGCCTTGTGTGAGGTCCTCAGTCTTGTGTTGATATTTGCAATTGAAGGCTAGGTATCTGCCCTCAAAACATAATTAAAAAATAATCCAAATGTTCTTCAAAAATGAATTGCAACGGCGTGTGTCCAGAGCACTACAGAGGAGGCTAGCAAGGAGAGTGACAAAGTGGACAACAGCAGCCGAAGCATGAACTTGAAAAATAAACGCCGTGTTGTTGACACATCCTTGCCACCTTGGGATCACCATCAGCCCCGCTGTTGGACAAAGAAGACAAGAGGGCAAACTGTCAACGAGTGGACAAAGAAGACAAGAGGGCAAACTGTCAACGAGTGTTCCAAACCCCTCGCCATCTTCGTCTTCGTGCAACCCACCATCCACCCTCTCCGAGAGGCGGTTAAGGGAGGCCTTAATTTTCAGACAAGTTCTCATGTCATTTATAACGAAACCCTAAGGTTATTTTAACCACTTGTGCCCTCTCTCACACTTATCAGCGAGCAATGTGATAAATGCAATCGGTTGTTACGTTCCGTATGGGCTGAAGAGAATCCTGCAGACGATGACTCAAGGAGGGACTTCGGTATCCCGCAGAAGATGACTGAAGGAGGGACTTCGGCTGCAAGCAGTTAGGAAGACCTTAGCAGGCGCTCAAGCGGACTGAAGGGGACAGAAAATACACTTACGAGATGGGATGGCCTCCGAAACAGACTTGAGAAAAACTGAGGCTGAAAACAGGCACAACCTTCAACCGGTGACAATCAACTTCGACCGGACCTCGGCTGTCATTGCGGCCACATTTTTTAGTCCTTGTGGGACCCAAGAAAAGAGCTATGCGGGGATATGGCGGGGACTCTAGCTGGGACTAGCGACATGAAGAACCAAAGGACGACTACAGCTGGGGATCAAAGTCAGGCATAACATAAGAAAGATTGAATATTTGGGGAAACGGAGGCACAACACCCACACCCACACCCACGCACGCACACACACAGTCGTGCTTTGATTTGCGCGGAGTTCTGGATGGCGAATATGACAAAACACACACACACACACACACACAACAACAACAACAACAACAAAAAAAAAAAAAAAAAAAAAAAAAAAAAAAAAAAAAAAAAAAAAAAAAAAAAAAAAACCGTATTGGATGGAATACACGGGACCTGGGAAGAGAGAGAGAGAGAGAGAGAGAGAGTACTTGAGACCTCGGATGGGACGACACCAAGAACTAACCAGCCACGGAAGCGACACCTTCTGGCGACCGGGGTGCCCGAATAGATGGAGACAGGGCCATGAGCAGACAGCCCTCGGAACGCCCTTGGGGTGTATGTAGGCTGCGAAGAAAAGCATGAGTTTGTAGTGGGACGGGGGAAGGGGGGGAAAGACCAGAGATGGAACTGATACAGGTAATCCTAAATGACGGTGCAAAACGAGGTCAATTATTGCATTCACTGCAAGAGTAGCGGTGAGCATACACCCCCATCAACCTGGAATTGCAAGGATATGTTGTCCTGTTTTCATTCTCTACCTACGGTTTACCGGGCATTTTTGTATAACGATATATATATGTTTAGGCCATCACTGCATCAACTGAAAGACATGTCTCATCCGGCTACCATAGCCCCGAGCAATTCCGATTTATTTTCCTCAGGATTTGAACTCTCAACAGTTGATGGGTATTACCATTCATTCAGCCACAAGGGCTACGCGCGAGGGAGGCGGAGGAGGAGAAGACGGAAAATCGAAAGAAGAAGAGAGAAAAGAAGGAAACTACCGGGAGAGAACCGCTGAAGGAGCAGGCAGGAGCTGCGGCTGCTGTACTTTCGCCTTTCCCGCCGTCTTTGATGCTCTCTCTCGGTCCTGTCCAGCAGGTCACCTTCCCGCGGGCAAACTGACAGCCTCTCCAACCATCGGGTTGTCGAAGCTGCCCATCCTACGCCTGGAGAAAGAGCCGACAGTCTGAAGAACATTAGCCCGCGCGAGGTGCTCAGCTGCGACCTGCAGCGATGCCGGTGCCGCGCGAGGTAGGGAGAAGCTGGCCACCTTGAGACACCCCTGGTCATCCTGCTGCCACGTGAGATCTATCATCAGGCCATACGGCGCCTCCGCCGTCGCGGAGTCTGGGATAAGCACAGCCTCCGCTCCGACCGGGACGTTGACGATCTGGTCGTTAGGCAACACCACTTTCTCGTATCTGCCTTCAGCCGCCGCGCTCTCAAGCTCCGCCCTCCTGGCTATCCGTAAGAAGACTTCTTCCATCGTGCTCAAGCTGAGTTGCAGGTCCGTGACCCCAAGCTGTTCCTTCGCCTCGTCGATCCGCCTGAAGAAGTCGGGCAGCGCATCTTCCTTCTTCCTAGACACGAGGAATTTGATATACGCGCCCGCGTCCTCCGTCGCCTCGACGTCGAGATGCGTCTTGAAAAACGCGCGAACGCGTTTCCCCGCCTCCTCCTCTTCCTCCTGTCTCTGTCTGCCTTCCACGCTCTCGCCGTTCTCTCTCTCCCCCTGCCCCCCTTCCTCGTGCCCACCGGCCACGTTCTTTCCGCCAGCTACCGCGCCATTTCCCGCTCCCCGTCTCTCGCCGCCGCCATTCGCCGCCGCCGCCGCCGCCGCCTTCCGCACGCTGATATTCACTATGTACCCTTCTCCAAACCTCGACTTGAGATGGATGCTCGTCCCGATGCAGCGCAATTTCCCCTTGGCCATGATGGCGATCCGGTCCCCGAGAACATCCGCCTCCTCCATTGAGTGGGTCGTCAGGACGATGGCCCGCCCCGCCTTCGCGCTCTCGATAATGTCCCACACATGCCGGCGGGATATCGGATCCATCCCAGTCGTCGGTTCGTCGAGGTAGACGATAGCAGGATCGCCGATCATTGCGATGGCCACACTGAGCCTCCGCTTCATTCCCCCGCTGTAACTGGCGGAACGCATATTTCCCGCCTCCGTGAGGCGCACCTTCTGCAAGAGCTGATCCGCTTCTGCGGCGATCTTCCCCTTGCGCATGCCCTTGATGCTAGCAAACATCCACAGGTGCTCTCTCCCTGTCATCGTGTCCCAGAGAATGTCGAACTGCGGGCAAACGCCCATCCTTTTCCGGATCCGATTCATCCCACTCGGGTCCCGAATCGAGTCCCCGTAGACGAGAGCGTCGCCGGATGTCGTCGGAATTACTCCCGTCAGGCAGTTGATGGTGGTCGTCTTGCCCGCCCCGTTGGGCCCCAGCAGACAGAAGAGCTTGCCTTTCTCGATGTTGAACCAAGAGCCCTTGACAGCGTGGAACTCGGGAGTGGAGTGCAGCCGGCACCGGCAACAACACCCGCACTTCAGCGTCGTCTTTCTGGGAAATGCCTTCACGAGACCGCGCAGCTGAACAGCCACATCGGACCCGATCCGTCCCGACGAGGCCTGCTGCATCACGAGCGCCTCTTCTGCCTTCACATCCATGTCCTCCTCCGCGCCGTCGCCACCCTCCTGCCCCCTCTCTGTGCCACCCGATCGTTGCTGGCGTCCCTTCGACGACAGCCTTTTCGTCCACGTGCAACAGCCCCCCCCCTCCGTCGTTGACCCTTGACCCAACCAATAGGCCGGCGTCAGGAAGTAGTAATAGGGTTTGCGCACTCCGTTGGGGTCGGGCACAACGTTGTCCAAGTAAATAGCCAAGGTGAAGAAGACAAAGAAGCTGATGATGTAATGGTTCCAGATCTGAGCCATGGAATAGCAGTGGTCTTCACGGAGCTGCTTTCCCCTGTCCCGCCACTTGATCCCATCGTCCTCCTTCGTCGCCGTACTGTCGCCCATATACTTCAGGCCGAGAGAGAAGGAGTTGGGCGGGAACAACGACCAAAAGAAACGCACCTTGCTGCTGAAATCATGCTCGTACGGGAACCCGCTCATCGTCACAATAAGAGTTAAGAAACCGATGATATACACGAAGAAGCCTACGTTGATCGCAGAAGAGGATTTGGAAATGAAGGCCGACAGCATAAAAGCGAATCCAATCATGGACAGAGAGAACAAGAAGTAATGAAAGAACTGAACACCGAGATCGTTCTTCAGAAAGAAGGGGAACTGAAACACCATGCCGAAAATAACTATGAACAAGGAAGAAATCACAGACAGAGCAATCTCCCACGCCAGCCAAGTGACCCAGTACGCCGACGTGAAGGCGCCCATGGTCGACATCGCTTGGCGGAGCTTGAGCTCGCGCTCGCGCACGAGCGCGGTCATCTGCACCACGAACCCAAACATGGCCGCGGCGAAGAGGAAGAACGGCCCTGCTGTGCCCACGGGAGAAAAGAGCTCCTGCGCAGGATGCGCGAATTCCGAGAAGGACACGTCCCACTTCAGCTCTTCCGCAATGGAATTATGGACCCCGCAGTCTCTCAGCAGCCCGCGCGCCAGCTCTCTCTCCACAGCCATCTGCATAGGCAGCTGGAACATGAAGTTCGCGTCTTCGATGTCCCCTCTCTTGTTCACTTTGGCTGTCGAGTTGGTCTGCAATCCGTATCCCAACAGCCGCCGCTCGACACTGCCGCAAGCCACGACCTTCTGGCTGCCGTCCTGTTTCGTTAAATTGTGGAAGAGAAGCGCTCCCATCGCCCGGAAAGGATTGGCAAGCAGCCACTCATCCACCGCGGCCGCGCTTTCAAAGCCTAGCACATTGTCGGTGGTGATCTTCCTCTTGCCGTTGTTCTCCATGATAGCGCGCACGGTGTCCTTCACCAGATTGTCCGACATCGGACTGTAGAGGAAGTCGTAGCAGCCCGGCTTCACATTATACCCCTGACTGCACGACGGGATGGCCGTGAGGGCCTTCTGCTCCGGATCCATGATGTTCTTGAACACCGTTACGGATCTCCAGCGCACTCTGACCGCTTGGTCGAAGCAGAAGATTAGGAAAATGAAGAAGAAAGAGGAGAAGAGCTGCAAGAAAGTCGCTCGTCGGCTGCGCCACGAAAGTATGAAGTTCTTCCACATCATTGCCCCGCATTGCTGCGCAAAGAGCGCCGCCCAGCCCTTTGCATCGCCATCCTCTTCTGCCCCAGGTGGGGCTGCCAGTGCTGTGGAGCCGGCCGGCATTTCGCCGACCATCCTTCCTCCTCCCCCTACCCCTCCCCCATTGTTTCTCGATCCCATCCCTTTCAGCAACTCGGCGCCAGGCGTCTTCACGTTACCCGCGTACACGCCAGCAAATAGAGAAGAAGAATAGAAGAAAACGAAGAAGAAGAAGAAGAATAGTGGAAAACAGTGGCCAAAAAGAAGAAGAAGTAGAAGAAGAAGAAGAAGTGAAAAGCAAGGCCCTGATTGCGTGCCCACAGTCGTGCGCAGTTTATTCACCCTCCTTCCTCTTGACCTCCACCTTTTTGCTTCAGGAATTCCTCCCACTTATTCCCCACGCTAACGGCGCATATTTCCTCACTCTTACTTCACGCTCCTCAGCCGCTTGCCTCCTCCTCCCCCCGTGCCGCCGACTGATGTGTCAATTTGATGATACTGCCAGTAGCAGGTCAATTGATTGACAGTACAGATCGGCAAGATCCGATAAGGGTAAGAGCACAGGCGGATCGTGCGGAAGTGCAGTAGATCGAGTCCCACAGGAAAAACGGAACTCTCTTTCTTTTCCTTCCTGAAGGTAACAGGGCGAGATGGAGTGGCTCGCCAAAAAAAAAAAAAAAAAAAAAAAAAAAAAGGCGATCGCTCAAACGGGTCTTAGCGATCGCGACGGTACAAGAGATCCGATTTAAATAAAGAGCACAAGGCGGATCGTGAGGAAATGCAGTACATCCAGAGTCCTCTTACAGGAAAGACGGAGCTCTTGTTGTTCTCAAAGGACTTGGCAAGTGAATCGATCAAACGGGCTTGGTGCTCACCAAGGACTTGTATAACTGACTGCTTACGGAAAAAATAGGAGCAAAAATATATATATATATATATATATATATATATATATAAAATAATAATAATAATAATAATAATAAATTAAAAAAAAAGAAAAAATAGGAGCGCGAGGCGTACCTTGTTAAGGACAGTATATAGATTTGGGGTTAAGCAGTAAAACTGGAACAAACACGGAACTTTCTCAGAGGTGTCTGATCGCCCTGACAAGCTATTTAATCGCCCTTGCGAGATTAGCAGGCAGACGATGAAGACTACTCGGAAGAGTCGGGCAGAATACCCAATAGATAGATTTGAATTAAACAGTAATAAAGGGCAGAATACCCAGTAAAGGGCAGTAGATAGATTTTACAGTAATTAAACAGCAAAAAACGGAACAAACACGGAACTTTATCAGACGTGTCTGATCGCCCGGACAAGCTATCTACTCGCCCTTACGTCCAACCGTTAGGCAGTACACGGCCCCAGCCTTGCAGAAGAGAAACGCGTCGCCTACTCCAAAATCGCGGCCGATGCATGGCCGTGAGCACTCGTGGTTTAGGGGACGGACAATGAAGACTCTGAAGAATCCGGGCAGAGTGTAGTAAGATGAAGCGAGCGAAGGGAAGGAGCATAGTAGTAATGTAGAGGAAAAGTAGGCGACAACTCAGAAAATCACTTGTCAATGAGAGAGAGAGAGAGAGAGTTAGGTGCGAGAAAGAGGCAGGGCCAAAACGGAGAAGAGAGCGGAGGCAAGCAAAGGTTGACTGCGGTCTTTTTGCGTACCTTCAGCGACGTGTGTTAGGCTCTCTGTTTATTTTCTCCCATTCCTGCTCTTGCTCGCCCTCCTACATGGTTCCTCGCCCCTTTTAGCTCTCATCCTGACACCTGGGGCCCATGCCTAGGAATATAGCTACCAAGCTGCGCGCGCGCGCGCGAGAGAGAGAGAGAGAGAGAGAGAGAGAGAGAGATGGCAGTCTGGCTGGGTGAATGTGCCGACCAAGGTGGAAATAAATAGACAGATAAACAAGCAGGAAGAAAAAGGAATCAGGCGAAAGTCAGCAAAGATGCAGCGAACGGAGGGGAGGCAAAATGATAAAAGAGGGAAAGAAGCGGGAAGCCGTGAATAGCACCTGAGGGACAATTCCGAGGGAGGTCAAAACGGAAAACAGAGCGGATAATACTCTTTCCAGAAAAGAAAAGAAAAAAAACAGAGCGGAGGAAAGTACAGAGACTTCAACAACGCTGTAGATTATATATATATATCTCGGCAACTTCTCTGGATCCTGCTACGGTAGGCTTTTGCTTTTCTCCCTTTCCTTCTCCTGTTCGCCCTCCTACATGGGTTTCCCCCCGTTCTCGCTCTCACCCCGCCATGTGTGCACCACACCTAGGTAGGGTGGCAGCAGATTAGCCAATCAAGACCTTCGCTGGGTCCCCAGCAACCCGATCCATCCAGAGCTGGAGTTTCGGTTTTAGGTAGAGCCTTTCATCATTTTTCATCTTGAAAACCTCAAGTCGAAGGGCGCGGAGCGGACATGGATGCAGAAAAGCCCCAGTACCAGTAATGTCATTGCGCGCGAAAGCATGGGTGGAGAAATCCCCGCCCTTGTTAATGCAGTGGCGCCAAAAAGCCCCAGTAGTAATGTAATTGTGCGCGAAAACATGGGTGGAGAAATTCCCGCCCTTGTTAATGCAGTGGCGCCAAAAAGCCCCAGTAATCTGATTGTGCGCGAAAGCATGGGTGGAGAAATTCCCGCCCTTGTTAATGCAGTGGTGCCAGTAATTGTGCGCGAAAGCATGGGCGGAGAAATTCCCGCCGCCCTCGTTAATTGCAGTGGCGCCTTTTGAAAATTTCCGCCCTTGATGATGCCGCCTCCCGCGGAATTCCCCCGCCGGAATTGTTGCTCCCGCGCTTGTCCTTGCTGTCTTCCGCGGTAGTCGGCGGCTCGCCCTTGATGATGCCGCCCCCCGCGCGGATGATCGACTCCGCGCTTACGTCGCTCCTCCAATTGCCGGCGCTCATTCCATTTTTCTTTGGTATTTTCCCCGGCGCCCATGGCATACTCAACTAAGACTTGACTTCCGCTTTAAAAATAAAAATAAAAAACTAAGACTTCCCTCATGTATGTGACCGCTTTTCAGATACGGCCAGAATGCACCTAACCTGTATTACGTCCACAGAGAAACGGAAAAAGAAAGTCCTCGTATGAGTTTTAGCCCTCATTCCATTTGTTTTTTTCGTTTTTTTTCCCCAGGCGCTCTTTCCCCTCACCGAAGCAGGGTAGTCCTTCCTCGTTGCTTCCCTCCCGCGGCGAAGTCCCACTAGCGCAGAGGATTGGATGAAAGGCCTGAATCCGGACGTGTCGTACGCAGAGATGCAGAAATGCAGATCAATCGCGATTTTCTGCACCTCTCCACAAACGCGTCCAGATTCGGGCGTTAAATCCAATCATCTTTGGTCATCAGGGCTGTGCACATCTACTCACCCATGTGGCTGCATGGCACACTCATCAACAGATGCAGACGTGTCAGAATGCTGAGGCAAATAACTCGAAATTACCTGGACCCAGTCGAATTTTCTTTTCTTTTTCTTTTTTTTTCTTTTTTCTTTTTGGGTGGGAGTGGATCAGGACAATTCGAAAGTACTATTCGATGAAAAAAAAAAAAAAAAAAAAATACTATTCGAAAAGGGCAAACCTGTATCAGTTCTGAGAACAGACCCGAGAATGTGGGAGTGGAGGGCACAAGGAAGAGGAGGTCAGAACGACTGTCTATTGAACTATACACAGAGAATTGGATACAAGATGGTTATCCCACAGTAGTGGCAAGGACACGATGGGGACCCAGTCGATTCCATCCTCTCAAGGTCATGAAAAAAAAGAAAAGAAAAAAAAAAAGAACTCAAGGTATATGCAAATCTGACCCCTCAAAAAAAAAAAAAAAAAAAAAAATCTG